TTTTTTTCCGTCGAAATTGTTGCAGATAACAGCAGGTGCTATATTAGGATGTATAGTAGCATACCTCATGAAAAGCTCCAGTTAAGGGATGGTGCAGTTATTGCTTCTCAATTACCAAATCTTCAAGAGGCTTTCGAGCTTTTCAATTGTGGTAACAACAGGTGCTATATTCTAGTCTTGGTTGCAACTATTGCTTCCTTTGCTTTTCTGTGTATAAATTGATTTTCGAGGTTTATCAAATTTATGCAGTGTTTGGTATTTAAAAATTGATTTGGAAACCCCAGAAGTTCCCCATCTCTGTACTTTCTAATAGTTTGATGGTGTTATCATTTCTGTTTGTTGAGTGATTAGACTGATAGAGTTAGAATGTTAAATATTACAATGGTTGAGAAAACATATATTTTAAGAACATATATGAGTTCTTAGAGCAAGTTGAATGCTTTGCCATAATCGTCTGTATATGGAAGTTTAGTTTGGATTTGTTAATAATTTTTTTTTAATTTTAAAATTTTTAAATTTTTTACCAGTACATAGGATATTTCAGGGAAATAAATCATTCTATTTTCAAACATCATTCTCTTTTTGTTGACACAAAATGAATACAAATTTTATTACAATAAGATCAAGCAAAATGATCAAGGACGTTAGTACACACCATATTTCTATTGGTTCAGTAGTTCATATCTAATCATGAGTTTTTGTTTGGTACTAGGTTTTCAGACAAAGGGTGCGAAAAATTTCAAGTGTATAAATTGAGAAATTAAAATTTGTGTAAATAAAAAATCTCTCCAAACATGACCTCTAGATTGTCATTGTACCAACAATGTCTCAGCCCTAGCCTTCTCATCCGGTGTGGAAAACCTATTCCACGAATTCAACGAAATCATTTTCCCTTTGTTCATCATCACATATTCCACTTCCAATCTTGCCTACACTGAAACACTAATTTTCAGGCCTTGGTTGGTCACTCAATAACCTATCTCCTTATGAGGATGTAAAAATCCGGCTACAAATGGGACGGGTTCAGTGCTTACCAGGAACCAGTCCTCAGGCTTCAGAATCACCACAATCTTGCCTTCAACAACACTACAGACAACCATCGAGGTACAACCACCCCCTGTTTCATTCCAAGTAGTTTTATAGCGATCCCGGATTTACCCTTGTTGTACAGTGATCCGGACATGTGTCCGTGGAGGTTGGTAGTTGATTATTATCTTGTTTACATCATTTTTACTTTGTAGTTGAGTTATGGGATGTGTTGGGCAGGTTTGTTACAGGTTGGTTGAGTTTAGAAACCAAAGCTAGTTGCCCAGATTTTGACCTGTCCGCTCGAGCGGGGGTTTTGGCGCTCGAGCGGGAATTGCACCCATCCAGTATTTCCTGTGCAGTGTTGGACGCTCGAGCGTGGGATTGGCCGCTCGAGCAGGGTTGTGTGAATGCCGCTCGAGCGCGGAGTTGGAAGCTCGAGCGGAGACCTAGTTCTGTAAAAGTTCTGGGAGTGTGCATCCGCCGCTCGAGCGGGATGGTTGACGCTCGAGCGGGAGTCTGTAAGTGACGCTCGAGCGGGGTGTTTGACGCTCGAGCGGGGTGACTGGGTTTAAGTTCCGAGTTTTGACTTTTCAAATCACTTTTTCACTTTCTCTTCTCTCTCCTACTTTTCCAAAAACACCATTGTTGAGCCTCTCACTCTAGAACTCTACCTTCTCTCTAGGTTTTGATCTAGTAGGAGTGATTTGCTCACCTTTGGCCTTTACAAAAAAGTTGTTGATCGTCGAGGGCTACATTTTAATCTGAAAATTTCTGGTTTTGGAGCACGTTGGGTTTTGTCATCTTCTCTCTCTTGGGACTCCGAATTTGAGGTAGGGATATCCTACTCCTCTCTATGGATTTTGTCTTTAAATTTTAGTATTTTGAGATGTTGGGGTTGGTTTGGTAATTTTGTGAAAGTTTGGGGCTTTTGTGTAATTTTACAAAAGTTGGGGTTTTATTTATAATAAACCTAGATGCATGTTTGGCATAGAGAAATGGAATAAATGTTGAATCATTGTTGAGAATGGGACCTTAAAGGTTGTAATGTTAATTATGGAAAATGCCCTAATTACATTGTTTGATTAATTGGGTTAATTAATCGTGAGAAATGAGGTTATGAAATAGGAATATTGAGATTGGGAATGTGTGGGGTTAAAGGGTGTAGTTGAATTATTTATCACTCACCGAAATGAAATGTTGATTGAGTATCCAATTGTGCATTTATTTTCTGTTTAGAAATAACTGCTTTGGGCTATCGGTGGAGGATAGTCGTGATTGTTGTAGACAATGCATGATGATTAGGCAAACGAAAACTAATCAATGAAATGTGTCATGGAATTTGACGGTTGATAGAATACATTAACTGTATGTATTGAATGATGGTATATAGAACCAATGTGTTTGTTTACATTATGTGTAGAGGAGGAGATAGGGGATGTACTCCGCGGTTTAGGGGAAGATGGGGGATGTACCTCTAAACCGGATAGCGTTGGGAGGAGATAGGGGATGAACTCCGTAGATACAGCTCATATGCTTGTCTAGAGAGGTGAAGATAGAGCTCATATGCTTATCTTTGTGAAATGTAGATACAGCTTATATGCTTGTCTGTGAATGTGGGATATAGTTGTTATATATATCTGTCGAGAATGTGGATATAGCTTATATGCTTATCCGTGAATGTGGGATATAGTTTTTATACATACCTGTTGAAAGGATGATAGAGCTAATATGCTTATCTGTCGAAAAAGGAAAAATGAAAAGTAACTTGGACTCATAAGTCGTATGACATAAAATGTGATTTATGTGGATGTATCAGTGTTGACCATCTATCAATTGCTAATCTTTTAGTCATTGTTCATGGTTGGTTTAGTGTATTTCTACTGGGCTGTGGCTCACCCTATATGGGAACATCATTTTCAGGTACAGGTAGCATGCCACCTCCAAGGACATAGCTTGGGAGGCTAGATGCGAGCTGATTTTTGCTGTTTAGTTTCTTTTGATGTATTACATGTATATTCAAGCCAAGGGCTTAATGTGTAGATGAGTTAGCATCCTTTTGTTGTAACCAAGTGTTAACTTGGAAAGCTGTAAGCTCGTAGGGCATTTTGCTTTTGTTGTTAACATGTAATACTATTGTAATGAAACTCTGATTAATAGAAGTATGTGGATATTTTGCATGTCAAGGAATGTCTCAATTGAGGGTTTAATGTTATTATTTTGAGGGCGTTACAAGTTTCATAGAGAATCATACAATGTAAAGATAAAAACAAGGCAAAAATTAGAATGAAAACAGCAATTAGCTATTATGTACCAATAAGGTTAACTTAAATGGGCTTTAGGACATCCCATATAATCTGTATATAATTTTACAGACTAATTTTACAGCACCAGCCTTTGTGGGTGGTGATCCTATGAAGATGCATATACATTGTGCTTTAACTTACATGGAAACACGTTAGACAATCACAAATTAACCAGCATAAACTAGCTGGTCTAGCCTGATATTTGGTCATTTCTAAACTAAATGACCAACTTAGGAAAGACTATACATTATCTACATAGTAATATTCTCAGATCAGAGACTACTATGAAGTGCATCTAAAATTAAAAGATAGAATTTTTATAAATTTGGATTCTTGTAACTCGTAAATCAAAGACGAAGCAGCAGAGTTCTCAGCATCTTTAACTTTGGACTTTTCATCTCCTTCCGCAAATAGCATGCGCTCGATAGTTTCAACCTGGACTGAACATAAAAATTTCCTCTCATGAGAAGGGCCCTCTTTTCTCACTATCCTGCAAGCAAAGGCAAAATAATACCAAGAATAAAATTTTATTACATGCAAGAGAAAGATGGCAAAATGCAGAGCATTCAAAAATTGTGTCCTTTCAAAACCCTAAACATTTAACAATCAATTCATGAACATTAGTTGAAACCCAAAAAAACAAAGAAAGGTAAATGTAACACTGCACTATCCTCTTATAATGGTTTATTTTAACACGCATGAACCCTCGTACTGTTAAAACCATATTAGAAGAGATTATAAAGCTGAGTTGCTAGTTCTCAGCCAATTCACACACCCCAGGAAATAAATATCACTCTTCAAACCAAAAAACATCTTGTGAATTTGATGATATTGAGACAACTTGCGCAGCCTATAAGACTCTTTAATACTTTATGACAACTTGGCCAGCTGATAAATCTCAAAGAATAATCCGTGAAACCTAACTCGTTTTCCACAAGAATTTGATCATTGTTTTATTGTATTGCAATGAGTCTCCGGGTCACCTTCGAACAAGACATGCTAGTACTGTTTCATACTTTAAACCAAGATTGTGATGATTCTAAAAACTCCACAAGACATGAGCTAGACACATAGTTCTAGCAATCAAGATACACATTTATAATTAAGTGACACCCTTAACCAATGCAAAACAAGCTTAGCAACGGATGGATCATCTGAAGCATTTTCAAGATCGTCATACTCAAAGATAGCAACTTACTAGGCAGACAATGAACCTAGAAACAGTCATACTCAACTATTAATACATGAAAGCAATCCAATCACATAATAGTCCATTAATAGCTTGTTTTGTTAAACACAGAAAAGACAAAGCCCAATGGAGAGATGGTAACAAGGGGAGACTTCAGCCCCTGACATCAAGGTTGAGGAACCAAGTACCAGTCCAATTATTTATAATTTGGTTGGTAAAGTGTCTATTATGGTTGATACAATCCCATTAAAATATTACTAGCCAACAAATCATATATAGATTAAATTTTCATTTCTCAACCATACAACAGCCTCTGATAAAAATATATCTAAATGTACAACTTACAAGAAAAATGCTATCCTAGACAAACAATTTCAAGTTTGGATAATGATTTCACTTTTAAAGTCGCATAATTTTAAAAATCCACACCCAAACCACATGAGAAGTTGGAAGAAATTTAGCTCAGTAAAGACAAATTCTTACTGGTAAGTGGGTTTTGGCCACCTCTTCTTGCCACAAATCTCATGCAACTTTTGTTTTGCTCCTTCAATCTCATTGGTTCCATTCATACTGATGTAGATGTCAACATTCATTTTGTCCTCGCCGTTAGAGTGAGACAACTTCTCCGAAGCTGCCTTTGCTGCTTGAAACTTGGCATTTTCCTTCTGCTCACAGGATGATGAGGCAATAAATTTCCCGTCCACGTAAACTCTGGCGATGTTCTTCTTCCTTCTTCTCCTGTACTTGATATTCACTTGCTTACCCTCTTTTTGACAAAATTCAAAAAGCATGGTCACGGGCTGTCGTTGTTGCTGGAATAGGCTCCAATATACCTCTAAAGATCTAAAATACATGAAAAAAACAATGTCATGAAAATTATTTTTTTTAAAAAAAATTTAAAAAACATTATGTCAAATCTTAGTTTTATGATTGAAAGTTCATTGCAAATAGTAGTTACGTTGAGATACCTCAGTTGCCCAAATTAGGATAGAAGAACCTAGTAAATTTCTATAGTCCAACTTTTTATTTCAGAATTCTAATGAAATTTACATAAAATAGACAGCTGTTATTTAATCTAATGAAATCTAACTTACTCATGTTCCAATTCAACAGGACCCCATGAAACCAAAATACCCCGAATTCTTAACAAATTTAAAGAAACAATTGTCCATAAATTACAGAACCGCGCACCACCCAAAAAGCTTGCAGATCAAACTGACAATCAACATAAACTGCCGCAGCAACAGACTCAACTATGTCAGCAAGAACCTTCGGCGCTTTCACCGTCCCTCCGTACACCACCGTATCTGCCTCCGGCCGAACAGCCAACGTGAAATCCCTCACCTACACAAAATCAAAGAACCAATTTTTTATTTCATAAACTCATAAGAGCATCTCCAATCCTGTCTCTTTTGCATCAGATTTGAGTGAAAAAATGATAAAAGCTTGATATAATATGGAACACTCCAATCCTAACTCTCTCTTTTTTCATCACAGCTTTTTGAAAAATTTCAAACTTAATCCAAAAAAATCTGGTTGAACCATTTTTAATGAAAAAAATTGTTCAAAATTTGGTGAAGGAATTGGTTACAGTGATTTTTTCATCAAATTTGACGAAACTCCAATCCTTGCACTCTCTTTTTTCATCAAAATTAAGTGAATATTTGGTTAAAAACTTGATCAGCTATGGCTCTCTTTTTTCATCAAAATTAAGTGAATATTTGGTTAAAAACTTGATCAGCTATGGCATAGTCCAATGCCTACTCTCTTTTTTTCATCAAATCTTTTTAAACTATTTTTTATGAAAGAAAACTGACGGCATGACCCACATGGCCTAGGAAAGCCCGACCCACATGGCCTAGGAAAGCCCAACCCACAACCATCTGAGGTCGCCCAAACGGTCATTTAGTTACGGCCCAGTAGGTGAAACCCAATAGTAGGCCCACCGAAGAACCCACGTTGGTCTAGTCCTTGTGGCATTTGGACACCTGTTAGATAGCGAGTTAGCCACGTGGCAGACAAATATCCTACAGAGTTATTGGGCCCAAGCATCAAGCATTAAATGAGGCTATAATGGCATTAAATGCAACAAGACCTCTCATCCCCTGGTATGGGGAAACTGCCATGACCGACGACGAGTATACCACAAGCCAATAAGACAGCTTGAATGGACAAGGAATTGATTGGTAAAAGATATAAGGAAGTTTGTGAAGAACGTTAAAGACAACAAGTAATATCATATTCCCTCTCTCTCTCGATTACTCTCTATTCACTTTCTTTCACCTCCTGTCTAACTTAACTATCGGAGTGTCCACTAGGAGAAACCAATCTAGTCTTAGAACCTTCCCACCAGACCTTTTGCAGGCATGTATCAAGAAGACGAAGGCCAGCAGACCCATAGAACACGTGGATCAATCCAAACTATCTATCTTTGACCGTATTACATTATCAAAAACCATCTTCAATCCTTAAATCTTTTAAAATTTCATCAAATTTGAGTAACAATAAATTGTTGAAAATTTAGCAAAACCCTGAAAAACTTGCCTCTCCTTGATGGTTGGCTCATAATTTAGATAAAATTGATAAACATAGGGGAGAGAGTTTTGGCTAAAATAGTCTAATAAAAATAAAATAGATTAAAATAACTAATACGATAAAATATTACATCAAAATTATAAAAAAAAAATTCTCACAACTATCAAATAAACTGGTAAAGAAAAAAACTACAGACTCGAACACAACATTTTTTAAGCGAGGTTTAAATAATAATAAAAAAATCAATTAAAATAATTAGAAACATTTATTACAAAATTATTTTTCAAGTGTTTGCATCCCAATTAGTCCATAAGATATTTTTGTATTCTAATAAGTCATATTATTTGAACATTTGATCTACCGAATCCTAATTTTCATAGTTAAGGTATTTTATGAATATTTTTCCCTTTATAAATATTTTTTGAACGGTTAACAGTTTAGTGATGTAAACATTCATCGCATGGATGTGTGAATGTTTACATTGACAATGTAAATATTCACATTGACATATTAACATTCACATTAATTCAAATCACGGAACATTTATACTGTAAATGTGAATATTATTAGAAGTATTTTAGTAATTATATCATTTATAAAAAATTTTGGAATATAAAAAAATAATATGGATTAAATCAACCATAATTAGGTGAAAAGTGAAAAATGAGTTATGAAAAAGTGCCCAATAATTAATTTTCCAAACGAGCACTATATATACATATATGCGGACTATATCTACTATCTTCTCATCAAGAGCGGCAGTGTTACGCCGGACATACTTGTACAAGCCATGTCGTACGGCGGCGCGTGCGAGCTTCTCGGTGCTGACATTGGCGGAGCGGAGGAGAGAGAGTTGGCCGGTGAGGAGGTCAGGGTAAGCGAGGAAGAAGAAATTGGAGATCGCGATACCTAAGGCGGCGTCGCCGACGAACTCAAGCCTCTGGTACGACGGCGAATCGGTGTAGGAAGGGTGAGTCTGAGCTTCCTCCAGGAGCTTCTTGTCGTTGAATTGGTAGTTGAGAAGCTATTCGATCGCTTGAACTGAATCGTCCATGTTCGTTATACACTCGTCAGCGATGGCGGCGGAGGAGTCGCTGGCGAATGTGTGCGGAACAATCTCGAACATTCTTGATGTGTTGTTCATGGATTGAATCGCAAGGGTTTTAGAGAGAGAATTTGGAGAAGTTGAATATGAGAGAGAGAGAGAGAGAGAGAGAGAGAGAGAGAGAGAGAGAGCGTGTGGTGTGGGGAAGTAATTCTGGTTACAGTCAGGTGTCATGGTGGCGTGAACTTTCAATTTGGAATAACTTGGTTCCATTTTTGAAATGAGGATGCGTCTGTTAAACTTTCAAAGAAGAAAATAATATGAAAAGATATGTATTTTTATTATTTATTTGGATAATTGAAGTAGAAAGAAATAAGAAAAAAAAAAGAAAGAAATTCATTTATTTTATAGGCTTTATTTTCAATCTTTTCAAACGTGGAAAGATTAGGAGAGAAAAAAAAAATCAATAGATTTTTATATTTTCGCAATATTAATTTTGTCTCTGTAAAATGATGCTCTAATATAGTGACAATATAGCGATCTCGGTATTCCCTGCTATTGTTTAACCGTAATCCGGACTCGGTTCCGTGGATTCGTTGTTGTTTTATTCTCATTTCTATCCCTTATGAAAGAAATCGCAATCATTTCTTTTATTTTATTTTTTACTTATCCAAACAAGAAAGAAAAAAAATCACAATCATTTCATTTCATTTCTTTTTTCTTATAACTTAGGTAATTATTTTTTTTCTTTTTTCTCCTAGAATCCCAAACATAGTGTTAGGCTGTGTTTGGTTATGCTTTTAAAATGTGATTCCAATTCATTTTTTAATGTGGTGTTTGGTTTCGATTTTTAAAAGTTGATTCCAATGCGACATTTGAAAACTCAGTCTTAACTGGTCATTCTTCCGGACATTCTCCGGCCAGCCGTCTGATTGTTTGACCGAAACCATTTTTTTTTTTTTGGCATCTGCTATATGATTGGAATTTTTTTAATTTTTTATTGATTTTTTACACCTGTTATTTTTTATATTTTAAATAAAAAATATTTTTGAATTTTTTTTAATTTTTATATGAGTTTGGTATAGAATTTTAGTTTGTGTGTTTAGTTATGAGATGTAAGTTTTTTGAATTAAATAACTTTTTTAAATTCAAAAACTCAAAACTCCTTTCAAAACTTAATTCAAAACTCATAATCAAACAAATTTTTCGCACTCAAATAATAATTTCAAAACTCATATACTCAAAATACAACTATATTCTCAAATCATAATTCTAAAATTCTATCAAACACTATAAAAATCAAAAGTTTTTTATCGATAAAAATTATTAACCAATAAAAATTTCAAAAAAAAATTAATTGAGTCATATTTTTATAAATTTTTATCAGTAAGAAACTTTTATTTAAAGATTTTTTTTTTTTACAGGAAAATCCTCCCTACCCTCTCGCAGGTCCAAGGCAGCGCCCCTAGCAAAGATCACCAGGGTGTTCTATTAGCCGTTCCGAGTAAGGAGACTATACCTGAAAACTTGCCCCGATCTCCCAAGACAAACTCCGCTTAAATCAGGACTCACACAACGGGGGAGCATTGAACCCACACCAAGTGTTGATTAGACAACTTGAGGTCCAACCTCCTAACCAACTATACTTCGCCTAGGAGATTGGCCCAAGGGAGAGAGGAATTAAACATGTGACCTTGGGGCTTAAATCCCAAGCCTTAACCACAATGCCACCCACCCTTGGATTAATTTAAAGATTTTTATGAGTAAGAAATTTCAACTATTTGATCTAATTAAAAATTCAATTAGAGAGAAATCAAATTCTTTGAAAAATTAATTTAGTTTGATTTTTGAGAACAATCGTGCTAGATTCTACAAAAATCTCTCATAAATCACTCCCCTCTAACTGATAAGAGTCTATTTACTTATTCTATAATACTAAACTCTTACCGGTCAGAATCTATAAAAGGACACTTTTGTAAAAGACTCCTGCAGGAATAGATCATTTTCCTTTTGAGAAATTGTTTTAAATGAATATTTGTTTATTTTTAATAATTTTTTTAAATGTTGTAATTATTTTTTTTAAATATGAAAAGTTCTTTAAAATAAGCAAAAATATACGCAGATTTCTTTTTGAATATTTGTTTATTTGTAATATATTAATCAACTTTAGAGTTAGAGTGAGTTTGGCATTGGTTTTTTAATGATTTAAAAAATTGGTCGTCTGAGAAGTTATTAAAAAAAAAATTGTAAGTGGAAAATATTTTGGTTGTAAGTTTTTTATTTGATGACAAATAATTTTTTATTTTTTGACTTATTTAGGATTGTTTTGAAAATTGATTATGTTAATTAGCTTTTTAATTTTTTACGAAATAATATATATAAAAAAAAAGTAACGAGAAGAGTGACTTTGATGTTTTGATTTTTTAACTATTTAATTGATTGTCAAAATAAGCCTTTGGAGTTGTTTGGCAACCTACTTATGTAGTATATTTATTGTCTATTTTAATCAAATAAAATTTATTTATTTAGCTCATTCCAAACCATGCCTTAAAAATTCAAATGAATTTGGTTAGATTTTAGGGGGGTTTTACAAAGTGAAAAAATAATCAAAGAGTCATAAAATCTGTTAGGTTTTTATTATTGGCAATCCCGTTTGACAAAACTCCTTTAAGTTGTATTTGTTTTCGCACTTTTTATTTCAGCGAGGCTATGAGTGTTTAGATGCGAATCCAACTCGAATTGTGTCTTGCAGAGAACTTTGTGATGTTAATACTTTCAAGATTGCCACTTCGCTGATTATGACGAGGATCGAGCTACCTGGTCAGCTTGCGGGGGTCCAGGGGGCAACGCCCCTTGGCGGGTCCAGGGCAGCGCCACGGCGGGGTCAAGGGGCAGCACCCCTGAAGCAAAATGCAAAAATGCATTCAAAGTTGCCTCCCCGCTTAAGCGTCTACTCCCCCGCTCGAGCGGAAAATGCTGAGTTCTAGAAGTTTGGTGAGTCTGCAAAAATACTGTGATCCGTGTTTTCACGCCCGAGCGTCGAAATCCCCGCTCGAGCATACATACTATTTGAAGCATTTCATATAGTGTCCCCGCTCGAGCGTCAATTCCCACGCTCGAGCGGACCTCGCGATTTTAGATTCAATAAATTCACAAGTTGCTCCAAATCTAGGATTACCTCTCCAGATCTTCTTCTTGGGTTCTAAGGTTTATATCTGGGGATATTTTGCTAGTTTTCTTTAATATTTTGATTGAGTATTCAACTCATGGTTTAAAGAGTATACATCAAAGGATTATTTGTTTGTTCTACACAAAAGAGAGAGTTGTTCTTCGGTGGATTCTGAAGAATTCGAGCCTGAAGCTTTGGTGGATTCCGGAGTGGCTCATCGTCAAGACGATTGCGAGGTGAAGACGGGGTTGGAAGAGGCACATAGGGGTTGGTTCAATTTGGGGGTGAATTCGCTAGGTAATTGAGAGTATACCTGTGTAATTCCTTTATATCTTCTTAGTGGATTGTTTTGTAGCGGTTGTCCGTGGTTTTTTTTATCACAATTGGAGGTGTCCAATTGTGGTTTTTTCACGTAAAATCGTTGTGTCTATTTGTCTTGATTGTTTGATTGGGATTGTTGTTTACTGCTTAAAATTGATACATAATCACAAATCAACATCTAGGGGATTTCTAGATTTTTCAAAATCATTACTAAAAAATCAATTACTCTCTATTTTTTTATATGTCATATTATAAAAAATTAAAGAATTAATTAAAACAATCAATTTCTAAATGAACTCTTAGATTTTGTTCAAATTGAACTTTTAAAGTGCAAAGAAGTTGGTACAAGTCCAACTCAAGCTTGGATTGTTAAAAGCCATCCATTTGGGATTGTTTTAGGAGAGATGAAAAAATGTGAAATGCTAGTAGTGTTTTCTTAATCGTGTTGCTTACATTTTAAAAATTGCCTGATCAAAAAGATGGTATAAATGTATTGAAATTATTTGTTCAGTTTAAAAAATAGGGGCATTTACATACAAGTCCCATTAATTTTTCATACCCTAATTTATCCTTCCAAGACCCCCTCATAGCTGCCAAACATCATTGCTGTCTTCATTCTCTCTCTCTTCGTCAGATCTGACTTCTCCACCACCTCCTCCTTATCATCTTTGTCGTGCTCGGGTTCAACAACCGCTTGTGGCGGCGGCGGTGACGGAGGTGAAGAGACGGGAGGTGAACCGACATTAGCGGCCCTCAACAACCACCTCCATCGGCGGAAGAGGCGGTAGCTTACAGTCGTGCCTACAGATATGGTGCCTACAGATACAGACTCTGGAAAATCTAAGCCTCCCGACATTAGCGGCCCTCAACAACAACCTCCATCGGCGGAAGAGGTGGATTTGGCGGAGGAGGAGGTGTTCGTGGAGCCGGAAATCGAGTCAAAAACTTGCCGCCGATGTCATACCTTGAATCCAAACCAGTACAACCAGGATAGCCTCTGTTGAGCTCTTGAAACCCCTTGATTATATCTTCACTCATAAGTATATTAGGGATGAGAATGTCATCATTATTCTCAGAATCCTCCTCCATTTCAGCGTATCCGTTATTGTTGTTGTTGTTGTTGTTGTTGTTGTTGTTGTTTTGGAGGGGTTGACTTTGAGTGTTTTTGGTAATTAACTCTAAAACACGATGGGTTGGGCATGATGGCGGCGGACGGTGGTGGTGCTTTCGTAGTAAAATGGCTAAAGAAATTGAGAATATTCTCAGTTTATAATATTCTCAATTTTAATCATAAAAAAACTCAATTCAGCAATCTAATGTATCAGGTTCGCAAAATTATCTTTCTTTTCAATCCCATACTTTTCTCAGAAGCCAAACAAAAATTTCTTAGTTTAGATAATTATATACTGAAATCATTTTCTGTTTTGAAAATTGAGAACATTCTCAGTTTTGAAATTGAGAACATTCTCAATTTTGGGATTAAAGGGCAAAACGTCTTTTTACCTATAAATGGGACTTATTGGTTCAAAAACTTTTTGACAGGACCTAAACTACCACCAAATATGTAAACAGGACTTTTTGGTAATTAACTCTAAAAAATACTTCATCCCTTCCAAGATATTAGTTCCTTATTCTATTTTTATTGTCTCAAAATATTAGTCCATTTTCAAAAATCAATAAATAAATAATATAAATTTACTATTTTTCCATTCTTTTAAATTCATTAATAACACAAAAAATACGATTATAACAATTGATATTTCCCCAAAAATATACTATCAAAGGGTAATTTTGAGAAAATTAATATTTTCAAAATATAATAATTGTACTATCAAAAAAAGTTAGATTTCCCAAAAAAACCATTATTTTAGAACGGAGAGAGTAATTAAAGTTTAAAAAAATGTCTGGTAAAAAAAATTGAAAAACAATTGTTAGGCACCAAATGCTAATTATTTCTTAACCATGAGAAGATTATAAAAATTTAAATATTGTGAGCCCAATTATTATGCTTTACTCTTAGGCTATGTTTGGGTAGCAGGAATCTTGAGGGAAATGAGAACTTAGTACTAGTAATAAATTTTTTGTATTAATATTATTCAAGCTTTTGGTTTTGTTTGGAATCTACCATGGGAAAATGAAAAAAATTTAAATATTGTGGGCCCAATTATTATGTTTTACTCTTAAATGGGTAACATTCCTCTAATGCTAGATTTCCGATAGGAAGTCAGGGAATCAAATTCTTACTGAAGTAGGTAATCATGAATTACTTTTCTATTGCAGTCCATTCCAAACGATGGAATCATAGGAACTCGGAATCACATTCCCCCCGAAGACTATCATCCAAACTTAGCCTTAGACCATCTCCAATGGTTCACCAAACTTGACATCAAATTTAAATTTTGATGAAAAAGTTACTGTTTGGTGCTCCAACGGTTGCACCAAATCGATATCAAATTGAGATTTCACCAAACAATTCATCAAACTGAGGACAATATACAGATTTCACCAAAACACTGTGTGTGACCGTTGAAGGAAGGAACCGGTCAACCAGCCGGTTGCCCGGCCGGTTAACCATCCGATCGACCGGTGCACCATTTAAGCCACTGGTTCGTTTGAATCCTCAACTAATTGGTTTGAACTAGTTGGTTTGAACTGCTGCCTCGCGTGACCGTTGGAGAGCAACCGATCAACCACCCGGTTGACCGGCCGGTTGACCAATCGATCGACCGGGTTGGGCAATTCGGCTACGGTGCACAACTAGCAAAAACATGTTTGAACTGGTTGGTTTCAACTTGTTTGAGCTGGTTTATTTGGACATAGGTTAATTTCTGAATTATGAATAATTTGAAGGGTGATATAAATTTAAATTCCCTATATATTTGACATACATATTTCACAACTAGCCGTTACAATAATTTACCGTTGGATGGACAGAGTATTCTGAAAATTTACCGTTGATGATGTGCTCTATAAAATCGATCTGATTTCTATATCAAGCTAATAGAGTATTTCATTTTCAGAATAACATTTATATGTTGTGAATTTTTTTTCTTTTGTGTCATTAGATATTTGTTTCCCTTGAAATTTTAATTAATATTATCTGAATCTAAGTTTGAGCTTTATATCATTACAATATTTTTCAGTAAGTGTATTGTATTTTTTCTAAACTATGGAAGATTTCGAAATGTTTGAGGAATCACAAATGTTTGAGCACAACACTCATATTAATTTTATGTCGGAATCTTCACGAGAATAGAACACGCAGAACAGTGATAATCATTTTATTCCAAAAACTTCTCGTGTTTCTCGTGGTAAAGCATTCACAATTATAGAAGATGAAACTTTATGTAGATCTTGGTTAGCAGTCTTTCAAGATCCCATTACTGGTAATAATCAGACTATGGCTATATTTTGGGAACGAGTACTTGTTTATTTTAATTCACAATTGAGCAGTGAATCAAATCGAAATCATATTTCGTTGACTCACCGTTGGTCTGCCATGCAAAAAGCAACTAATAAATTCTATGGTTTTCTTGAACAAATTCAACTGAGGTAACAAAGTGGAACAACTGAAGTAGATATGGTAAAATTTATTTGTGTTATTAAATATCAATTTTCTTTTTTAAATGTATACTTGTTATTGAAATCTTTATAATTTTTTTTTGTAGGTCACTGAAGCGAAGCGGATATATCATGCAATACAGAAAAAACACTTCACATTTGATACATGTTGGGAGATTTTGCGCCAAAGTTATAAGTGGGATGAATTTCGATCAAAAAGAAGCACGCAACATGCTGATCCATGTTCGAATCCACCAAGTGAATATGAGGCTTCTCAATCCAACCAGAATAATGCGGTGCACGAACAACCATCTAATACATCAACACGACCAATTGGTACTAAGGCAGCGAAAGAGAAGTTGAAGAATCAAACAACATTCAGCGAGATGAACAAAAGGCGATAGACCGTGAGCAGAAGGCTGCAGAGCGTCGAAGAAGGGCTGAAGATAGGGAGGAACAACTAAAACTCCTATCTATGATAAATGAAAGAGAACAACGAAATGAAGATCATAAAATTATGTCAATAGACATGACAATTTTAAATCCCATGCAAAGGGCGTACTACGAAGATCTTCAACGACAGATTTTATTTCGAACAACTAATAGATTGCCTTGAAAGGTTCCGTATTTGTGGTTTTCATCTATTGGTTTTATTATTTAAAAAATTATGTCTAACTTGTATTGGTTAGTTTTATTGGTTTTATGAATTTCCCCCGATACGTATTTTTGCCATATTTCAAGTTCAATATCTAATTATTGCCATGTTTTTTGCATAGGGAGATCTTTGGCCTGTAGTTCAATGTGTTTTTTTTTTTAATTAACCTCGTCTTCTCTAAAATGATATTTAAAGTGAAGTCATTGACTACTATAAAATGATTTGTACCAGAGGAATCATAACTAGATAATGACCTTTTTGTAGCATTTTCAGGATGTACATAATCATGCCCTTTGTCAACTAGGCATTAAAATGAAAAACTACAATATAAAGTGATAATAACTGCATAGGCCAATGGTCGTAACTGAATAGGTTTTAATTAATGTCTTCCTCTTTAACAAATTGACCCAACAAGAGGTTGTTTAAATAACAAAATACAAAACAATACAAATACATAATGTGAAACACATTAACAGTCATTATTTGGTGGTGGTGGTGGTGGTGGAGAAGGGTAGTAGTGATGGTATATGTCATTTACGCGATGCTCAATCGTATCTACACGATGCTTAATGTCCACACGAAAATAACCAAATTGTTGAATTAATGAGTTCTGTGCAGTGACAAATGTATCAAACTGAGTACCTAACGAATTGACCTGATTAGCCATTTGATGTTCCCATTGAACGCGTTGATTATAACGTTGTTCTTCCATGGCCAAAAACTCAGTCCAATATTGAGGTTGTTCAGTTGATGGCATCACATTGGCATGAGGATCTTCTGGAGCATCATCTTCTGGGACTTCATTTTCTGAATCTTCTGGAGCATTAACACTTCCCATTAAATTGGAGGCTGCACCAGTACGGGTCACTGTATACTGATTAATTGGTGAATGGATTTTGATATCCATTTCATCTACAAGGTGAACCTTAAAATGTTTGAAAATTTTTGTTAAGAGTGCCCCAAACAGTAATGACCGACCCGAGAATTGACCTTGATTTGCCAGTATCATTTCTTTCATAATTATGTAACACAAATCTAACTTCTGACCAACTTCAAAATAGTATAACAAATAGGCATTAAAATATGGGACTGCATCATGATGTCCTTTGTTTGGAGTGATATTTTCTACAATCCACCAGTGGAGAATCCGAAGATAAGGTTTTAAATGTCTTGCTTGTAAACTAGTCCCAGTAAATCTGTTTCGACAAATAGTAGTATAGACATCAGTAGCATTACCAACGATATTAGCTAACTCAGTCTCAAAATGAATATTTTCATCATCTAACTCAACTCCAATAATACTTGCCAAAGTAGGAATATCAAACTGTATACCCTTTCCTTTCACAAATGACAAAAGAGTAAAATTTCCATTTTCTTTCTGAGTGCCTCTTAGGTGAACATAAAATAGAGATACCAGCCGTGGATATACCTTTTGGGGCAGATTAATTAAGTTTAGCCATCCTATTGCTTCAAGTTTACTAATTAATAGTGCATCATATTGAGATGGAAGATTTACCCTCCTCCCTGTTACAATCGGTCGGCTAGAGAAGTTTG